TGAGTAGCTGAACCCAAAAGCCCTGTGCACACGCACACACACACACACACACACACACACAGATGCTGTTGCAGATGCAGATGCACCCACTTTTGGCCTCTTGTTTGACTTTGCCCAACACTTTGGGCCATACTTTGTCAACTGGCAAAATACACATTCAAGCGGCAGCATAGAGATAGTGGTGGCGGGCATTTTGTTGGGGAATATCTAGCTTGAACAGCTAAAAAGCTGTCATATTACTTTATCATAGTTTAATAAGAAAGTAGCGAATGAACTGATACGTAGAGAACTGTATCTTTTTGGGTCACCTAAACACTAATTATAAGGCTAAGAGTAATACAACTTAAAGTCTATCCCCCTATGAGGAATAAAAATGCATTATACTAAGAAGAGGTGTATAATTAATGTCATTTCATTGAGAAATCTAAGAACTTGCACAACGCAATTACCATGGCAGCCTGTAAGCCTCAACAGAACTACTCGTATTTATTGTGCTATCTATGACAACCTACCATTAACAAATGCCGCCCAAATAAAGATCTCCCCTGTGTAAATGGCGCAAGATATGTGGCCAGATCCGACGTGAAAATATCCGCAGTTGACAGCCCTGAATGAAGACCCCATTCTGGAGCAAACTTCTGAGGGAAGGGGACAGGCTGACACGCCTATTTGGGCTGCGTTGCTGGATTTGGATTTGTTTCAACTCTGCGAAATGGGTTACATGTGAGCCGAAGACGAGGGCCCTTTGGCGAGCAAACAAACGTGCCAGTGCGAGTGCGAGTGAGAGGGGGAGTGCGTGCGAGCGAGATGCAGCACTCACTGTGCAACGGAGCAGAAAGTGCACTAAGCGCGGATTTATAACGGAAGCTTAGTCCGCTCGCCAGCTCATGAATAAATTAAAACAGGAACATATGTACACAAGCATGCATAAGTGCCTGCATAAGTATCTGTATCTGCGTATCTGCATCTGTATGCGTGTATGTGTTTGTAACGGTGAAGGCATACAGCACCAACACGCCCCCTGCCACATTGTTCTATCCCAGCGACTACTGGCCATATAAGGCCGTGAGATACAACAGCAACGATTAAAATCGATCTCGAGACTCATAAATTATGCAATTCAAAGAACGGAAAACTCCACCGCTTCGACAAACAGTAGTGCTCTACAAGTTGCAGGATTGCACTTTTCTATCAGATCGGATCGTTGCCACAGAGCAAAGTCTTTGAGCGGAAAGTATTAAGTGGGGTGGTACTTTAAAATGATATTTCAGGAGTGCGCGCATAGTTCTCTATTGTCTGAATTGTCTGAATTTTAAAATACTCAGTGATTTTCACTTCAAATTCGATGCTGGAGAACTTAAAGCTTAAAACAACTTGGGCCTATTTTTGAAATACTTATTTCAAAAAGTTTCTTTCTTTTCGGTTAAGAAGTGGGAGATTAAAGCATAAATATTTATGTATGTATATTTGTAGTCACAGTATTTTGGATCAAGACCTACTTTTCTTTTTAATTACTTTTTGTGCAAACCTATTTTGAAACAAGTGTTTCTAGGCCTCACTAGCCATTTGTTATAGTGAAACGTAATCTGAGCATTTCCGCCCTCTAGAGGCTCCACTGTATGTGAGGCCCCGTTTGGAGGAGGCTGCAGCTTCATCTGCGTGTGGCCAGTGTGTGTTTTTGCTTTTGTTTCTACTTCGGTTTCAGTTATAGTTTCTTTTTTCCGGCCCACGCCCATGTCAGTGGGCACCCACAAGTAGTGGAGCATTGGAGCTCTGTGGCAGTTGGTTGGACATTCAGGCACTTGGACAGCTGGACAGTTGGGCGGTTCAACTTTAACTTCGATTTTCAATATTCATGACAGGAATGGGGGCGGCGGAGAGTTCATGACGGGCTATGGAGGGTATGGGGGTATTGGGGGCATAGCCGTGTGTTCGAATGGCAGTCGAAAATTATGGCAATTACTGCAGAGTACTGTAAATTATTTGCTCTGGCGACCTCATTGTCAATACACACACATCTACACACAGGCAAACGCTGGAAAATTCATAACAGCATGTGTGCAAATATTCCCACATGCACTTTGCAGTTGCTGTTTAATAATTCGGTGTGTTTAATGCAAATTGAGCGTTTAGCGGACGTCAGTAGGCAGCGAAAAATGATCAACTAAGTACGTCCATGACTCGAATATTAAACGTGGCCAAAAGTATCTGCCATACACGCATTTAGATTATGTTGATTGGTTTCAAATGGCTCGGCACAATGGTATTTATTCTATAAAGCTATAAAGTTCATTGGTAACCCTGCAAGTAAACTCTCTTTTTATATCCACGTTTTGAAATTCATGAGATATTACTTTATTTTCCGTGTGACTAAGTGTGGGGCAAAAGTGACCACTCAGTGGGTCACTCATCACCGAGCAATCCGCTTAAGCTCATGGCTCCTTATCTCGCGATTCCGGGACCACAATTATGCCTCTTGGCTTATCGGCGCGAGCAGCCCTCAATTACACTGTGCGCATAATTATGCCCCTCAAATCGCTCTTAAAAGACGGCACGGGATTCCGACGACATCTCGGTCAGTAAATCGGAGCGCGGGGGAGGGGGATGGCGGGGCGGAAGCGGTAGTAAGCGCCTTATGCGGCTTATTTGTAGGTCGTATAAAACGGACGGCTACTTGCCCGATTTTATTTACTTTTTATACGCATTTGTGCAATATTTATTTTTATGCCAACTGCAGTGGCCGAGTGATAAGCGCTGGACAGCCGGCGACTGAGTCTGGATTGGGTGGGGGAACCACTATATGGGGGATACATTGAGGATATCTGTGGGGAGAAGAGGGGAGAAAGAGGAAGCGGACGGGAGCAGTGACAGCGGAAATTTATGGTCGTCGCATAAAAACGCATAATCAGTAAACGAATGTGCCACAAAGGCAGAAAAAGAACAAGGCGGGGATTGGCGGTTTGGGATTGGGGGGATTGGGGGGCTTAGCCGAATGACCGCTGGATAGGGAATCGGTGAAGCTATAGCCATACCGGAACAATTCCCCTTGGGGAGCTATCATCCACACACTCGGCGGTGAGCACTTCGATAGAAATGCAAATTCAAGCAAAACTTGTGCGCAACTTATGGCTACTGAATTCGCACACTGCGAGAAAGGAAATGGCATGCTGTGGATTATGTTGCTGAGAAGCCCATTACTATTAATCACACAATTATAGTTCTATCCATCTGAATCAAGATCTTGAGATACAATATTTAATGAATGTACAAATATATTATGTTTATGTTTAGGTTCCTTTTCCCAGTTCACATTCTAATTCCCAACTATTCAAAGTGTTTGCTGTGGCACCCCGTTTTTCTCGCAGTGCATATTGGGCACACATAAGCTGGATGAGTCAGTGCTAAATTGGTCCGCCTAAAGTGCAACGTTTGCACTCTGCACCTTGCGCCTTCGGCACTATTTCACTGTCAATTGATCGGTTGGCTGATGGGATGGAACTGAAAAGTCGAGGAGGGGAGAAACGGGAGGGGAGCTACATTAATTAAAGCCCTGTAATGTCATTAGCTGGCCTTTTGACTCGGCTAATTAGGTTTGCATCTAACGCAAACGCGGCAGGATGATGACTGCCAGTCTGCGGATGATTTCCAGATGGCTGACGCACTTGCACGCGATGCGCTACTTGGCGTCTCACTTAATTACCGACTGCCAATGGCCAGCTTGATAACAGTTAAATTGATTTTGATTGCTTTATTCGATGCCAATAAATCAAAGACGGATGGAAATGCTATGCGGCACGTGGGCAGCAGAATGCTGCGAGTGCTGGAAAAGCGATACGCGCGATATGGACACCGATATGCTGGGCATAGTATATATTTGGCCATATACTCGTGTGTGGATGCATTGGTACTGGACACTGGCCAATGGCCACTGCCCACTTGTCCCGGTGTCAACGTCAAACACGAAACGAAACATTTTGTGCGATTAGCTTGTAAGATTGTTTGCAGCTCTTTTTTCTGCGGCCATTTATTCAATTGCAGTCGGCAGCGGCAGTCGGTCGGCAACTCGATAGTTAGAGTGTGTAAAACTGGATTGCAGCTGGACCGGGCTAAAGGAGCTAAGAGCCATGATGCTGAGGGGCTGTGGTGCTAGAGTTGGCTTAGATGTGAACGTAGACAAGCTGGCAAGCCGAAAGCATTTTGGCCTCATGGTGATTTTGGATTTTTGTTCTTTTTTTTTGCTTTGTTTTTGGCCTGTGTTTGCCCACTCGAATGCCTCCGAGTGGCAATTTTATCGAATTATTTGCACTTAGCTGCAAATTCAATTGGAAATAACGAGCGACTTTTCGTCGTTAGCACTGGGATACTGAAGATACTTCTGCATCCATGTGCAGGCACACATATCCGAGGCCCCCGAAGGCCCCCAAAGCAGCAGGTGATCCGATCCCATGCACTTTGCACACCCCGATACACCCCGACACAATTGATATCTCTGTCGCAGTCCATTTGGGTCGTGTCAGAAATGGCCCCAAGGTGGTAGCCCCCATCAGCTGGAGCTGTACAGTGAGCATGGGCTACTCTACACTCACTTAACGATGTGATATTTTATTAACACTAAAAAAAGCCATCACTAAACCCTAGTCACTTATAGCTCTGCTTTAATTTGTTTAGTGTATGGCTTAGTGCAACTATCGGACATATCAATTTATGAGCTGCCTCCACATAGTTTCGCTTAGCCTATATTTACTATACTTGGTGCGGTATATATTTGCATTGTGCAATAACTTTGCCTCTTGTTTCGTTTCGTTTTTCGGCGTTTTCCGATAAGCGACGTGAGCAATAGGAAATATTTTGACACTTCTTTATGGGGCAATCTACGCGAAGTATGCCAACTATGCAACCATTTTGAGGCACAATAAAGTAATACAATTACTAGCGATTCGGTTGGGCAATCAGCTTTAAGAGCTAAGATTTTATTAACATTTTATTCCTTGTACTTTCAGGCAAAACGAGAAGGATTGCGATGAGGACGACAAGGAGGATGTGCTCGATAGTATGCCACCACCTCCGAATTACATACAGATCTCGCAGGGCAGGATTCAGTTGGTCCACCAGCCGAGGACGCCCGTGGAATCGGAGGCGGGTACTCTGCCCTTGGAGCGGCATGGGGGCTCCATCACCGGATCCGGCGGCTGTGATAAGGTGAGTTTTTGACACCATAATTAGCCCCTAGCCTTGGTAACTGGTGACTCCCGGCTTTTGGGTTTTGGGTTTGTGAAAAGGCACGTAGCGCTTTTGGGATCCAATTATAGACAATCAGCTCGAATCAAATCATAGCCCCCGTATATACATAACTATTACTTACCCGCCATCAACTAACCTTCGGCTCTGGTGTATTCAACTTTTTCTCCTTTTTGTTTGAATGGTTAACCCAATTTTTTGCCATTTGGCGGGGAAAGCAAAAAAGAGCAGCTCGCTTTCCATTGTTGGCGTGTGGAGAATTTTCCCAAAGTGCGGCATGCAAACGAGCCTCTTGGCGAGGCAAACACCTTTGAACTCGGCTCTTTAAAGTTTGAGCCACTTGAACTCGTTAACGTGCCATTCGAGACACATCGCAGCGGCGTTCCACAGATTGATGAAGGACTCCGCAGGTCAGGCCAAATGACCTCTTGACATGCGAGTCTCCGGAATCCCGGCAAGCCCGGGTCACGCCAACTTGGAGTCTTCTGCCGCTCACTTGCCGGCAATTTCTGGCCAATTTCGCCACAATTTCTCCACCAAATTTCTCGGCCTAATTGATCGCGTTCAAGCCTTGACTGGTCTAGGCTTTCCCATGGATCGATGGTACGGTGCTCCCATATGGCTCCCATTCTCTCCATGGCATTCGAATTTCAGATTCTCGCCGCTGCTCACGTTCCGACTTCCGTGACGTTTTAATAGCACTAAGTATGGCGCATGCGCAGCCGCTGGAGTTGATTTATGGTAGTTACGGCCTGTGGATGTGCCTGGATGGTCCATAAGCGGCTGCAAATGAGCCGGGTGAGCCAAGCCAGGCGGGAACTGCTCCATGTAAATGGCAGTTGACGCGGTAATGCTTCTGGGAAGCAGAATCCACTGGAGAGTCGGCCGAGGTAGAAGTCACGGCTCCCGCTAATTGAACCCACGAATCCGCTCCAGAGGCTGCGTGTCTCGATTACCAAGCTCCGAGTCCATCCAGCTGCCAGCTGCCCAGTTGCCCAGTTGCCCAGCGACAGACACCCACTCGCGGCAAATTTGCCAAATGGCATCTCGATTATTTGCGCACACACAATACAATGGATCCGATGCACTGCATCCATGGCTGTCATCAGAACCCAGTCACGTTCTCTCCCCATAACTTGCTGCCGTGCTTTTTGAAGTTGCTGCCGCAGTTGCTGCTGCAACTGTGCAGTTTCGCACTGGCGACGAGTGATTGAGGCGGGTTCAACGAACTGCCAGCTATTCATTTGCTGTGTTTGCCCAGACTTGCCCCTCCATCCACCGGGAGCTGCAGCTTCTGGCTCTGATTCTCCAGCTCCTCGATTCTCCGACCGCGCTGCACATGCGCACAGTTTCGCCAGCTGGAATAGAAGTCTATGGGCTGGCATTGTTGTCGCCGTCTCCATTTCATTGCCTGCATTAGCATATGGATATGTGTGTACCTACTGCTGCTATATTTGTTTACACGGAAAAAGTAGCAAAGTACTGACTTAATACTTTCGAGAAATCAGCGGGCAAAGGAGTTGGGGTTCTCGAAGAGCAAGGAATATGTTTATGCAGAAGCAAATATATATTTTATACCCACTATTTGGTACGATGGATGCTTTGCACTGGTTTCAGCTGAGATAGGTCTTACTAACAGGTCTATGTAAAAAAGCAGTTGATTAATTGGTTTGGAAACCCTTGGAAGATTTCACCAGCAGCTGGCTAATGAACTGTAGTCTAGACCTTAGACCTTAGAGTTTTTCTCTGTGTAAGACTGGCAGCTCCACTTCGAGACTGGATAATTTCCTGCCACAAATCATGGCATTCATTCTCGCCTAGTTGGCCAACACTTTTGGCCATTCATAATCACGCTCGGATCGTAATCTTTATAAATTCTCCCTCGTTGCGGCAGAACAACAAAAATCAATTTGTCTATTGCGCAAAAAGGCAGAGTTGAAAACAAAAACCATGCTTCAAGAGACAACACAACCCATTTTCCTCAAGCTATAAAAATGATTTTTACAACTTCCACAACTAATATTAAGTGTTTAACAAAACAGAAAGGCAGCTAAAAAAATCCAAAAAAGCAAACTGCTGTTTTACGAGCGGCGGCGTCACATTAGTTGTTTAGTTTTTTTCAGATATTTGTGTGTTGACTGTTGACTGTTCGAGCCAAGAAACATTTGCTGGCCATTTTTAGGCAGGGAAAAACTTTGAAATTGCCATTTCCATTTCCTGTCCACGCCCCCCGCCTCCTGCGATGACTACCCGTCATGTGTACAGTATGTAAAAGTACATGAAAATCGAGACAAGTAAATAGTCCATTAAGTAGCTGATCTCTCGGTGGCTTTTCCTCATCGATTTGAACTCGAAAACTGGAGTTTCGGTGCCACCGTTCTTCTGTGGCATGTCAGCCTTGCTCTCGGTGAATTATTGGCCATGCACACCTGCAACTTGCCCACCTGTCCCCCTTGGGCCCCCTTTGACCCCCTTTTGGCCACTTTTTCACCTGCCCGAGACCTTCTCCCCATCGCGTGCGGATTAAGTAGAAACTCATTGTGTTTTACTTTGGTCCGAATGCAATGTGCATTCACTGGGAAACTCGAGACTGAGTCCAAAAGAGTTCAATGATTTGCTTTTTACACCTCGAATCTGTTTTCTGTTTTGCTGTTGCTGTTGCTGTTGCTGCTGCTGCGACAAGATCGTAAATTAATTTCAATTGCTTTTCCATTTTTTCGGGCTGTTATAACTATTTTTATCGCCTTGCTGCTAATAGTGTTGTCATCGCAGATGATAGCCAAAAAAGTACTTACTCATTGGAGGTGATAAATGGTTCACTTTTGCGCTCTTCCTAAACTTATTTCTTTGTAATTAGTTGCGGTCCAGTTGTACTTTATAGATTAAGTTATAACATTGTTACTAGACATTTATAATTAAATGTTGATTTTATTATTAGTATAGCCACGCCCTAACAACTTTAATTGCTATATTCAAACACACTGCTACTGATCTGAACATAAATTTAAATTGGTGTTGCATATTTGGCTAAGATAGAATCAAGCACTTAAGTTTAGAAGTAGCCTTTAAAACTGGCAAGTAATGCTTTTGGGCAGCACTGAAATCGCTTCAAAAATCACACACCCCCTCACATCCGAAAACTCCATTGGTTCACTGGCCATATATACCTATTTGTATACATATATAAACGGATAATGGAGGATATACACCCATGCACATGCTCGTAATACTCGTATTCAGCTAGCTTTAACTTTTCGTTTTTTTGGGAACTTAGCCATAGCATTTAGCCTTCTTGTGCTGCTTCCTGAGTTTTTGGTTTTTCTGTTTTGTTGTTCTTGCAGGATGTGTTGGAGAAGCGGATGATTGAAGTTGAAGGCGCTCTGCTGCGTTTGCAGGAGCAGTTCCAGAAAGTGAGTACTCCCACCAACCGAAGTGTATCCATCCATCTATGTACGTGCATACCATATCCATACTCTATACTCAAAGTCCATATCCTGCCCCTGCGACTGTGAGATGTTATTACCCGGCCCGGACATTGCTCTCGAAATGAACTTTGAATTCGATGTCGCCGGAGTTGGCCGAAAGCCCGGCCCGTCCCGTTCCCCAAGCATTTTAATTTCCTGTGCGGTCAGCGTGTGAGGGATTTTCATTCGGGGTGGGGGCAGTGGGGTCTTCCGGGTCTAGATGGACATGGGGGTCATTAATCGTGTTCAGTCGTTTGCGCTCTGTGCGGTTTATGCGGTCAGGCTGGCCAACAAGGTCGCCTCGACGGGCAATTAAAAGTTACAAGCTTAAATTACATGCATATGTGCCGACATCAAATTATACGACAGCAGGAGCAAAAGGCCATTGAGGCATAGAGATAGGACTACTCTGCACAAGCCCTAATTTAGTGGCACAAGATACTCATTTATATAAATTCGACTTTAATAATATCAACTTAAAAAATGCAATTGAAAGAAAAACTTTTGGGCGAGGTTAGTGAGAAAATCGATCAGCTCATGCTCGCCGAAACTTTCGAGAACTGACATGCAAATTGGCCAACATAAAGTCACATAAAATAAGAAAGTACGTCTTAGAAAAAGTGGGGATAGGAAATTGCTACTGTTTATTACCCTCGGTCCACTCGATCAAAGCCCTCTCAATGGCAAATCACAATCTAAACTGTCATCACAATGGCCGGAGCAGCATCCTCCCCCTTGTCGGCCCGAAAGAAAGTTTAATGGCCGGAACTTTCCGGCGGAAGGAGCTTGGTTTGGCATACGCATTTCCGGCTTTAGGTAATTGAATTTGATAACAGAGCAAAAAGGAGCAGAACGAGCCAGAGCCCCAAAACGAGTTAACTGCTGCGAGTTTATGGTGTGAAAAGGAGCAGCGTGTGGCCTCCGCATCCTCGGCGGCATCCATTCCACGCCCACACACATTTTTTGGCCAACGATTTCCGCAGCCAAATGGCCACCCGCCGCCTGCTGTTCCTGATTTTCACAGGAAGCGGCGGAGACAAAGCGCGTCGAGAGGAAAAGTGGAAAAGCGGAAAAGTGCTTTCTGCTGTGTTTCTCGGCCCGTTCTGGCCATTGCCTGATTTTCTATGCTTTTCCATGCTTCTGGCAGGCGGCCCAGCTCACAGCACAATTTACGAGTGTGGCTGTGCCAGTTGCCCCCAATCTTCCCACTCCGCCTTATCTTCTCGCCAGGCTGCAAACGCGGACCACGGGAATCCGATTACTGCACTCGGAAAAAATGTGGCTTCAAACCAGAAACAAGTTTCATGATCACTTAACTTGGAAGTCCAGGAAAGTGCTATCCAAGCTACAAAACTACATGACTAGAGCCTTTAATTCCCTGGATAATTCTTTAGTTGTACTTTTCCAAATGAGTACAAAAAGAAAGGCTGCGAAGTTGTACTTGACTTTAAATTCTTTTGGAATTTTGATCAGCATTATCAAACTTTAAATACCACAAAAGAACTTGTATTACTTTGCCATTTCCTTTGGAATACCATTGATGAATAATAGTTGCGTAACAGAAAGGTAGTTCTTAGCTTACCTATGAACGTACTTCCTTTTCTGTTGCCTAAAGGGGTATCTTATGCACATATTTCTTGTCAGTGCATGGACACACACGGATGCTGCTCTTTCTTTTCCTTGCACCACAAGGAGTTCGGCAGGAGTGGGGGGCAGTGGGCGGAGTGGATACATGAGCTACCGTTGCGCTGTCCCAACTTCCAGCTCCTTTGGCAATATTTCTGCACTTTATCTGTCTGTAAATAACGATTAACTATGCTCGCTGCTCCTTTCCCCGCTCCTCTGCTCGCTCTTGCCAATGTCCTTCGTTTTCACTTAGTCCAAGTCCCTCCCTCACAATGCGGCTGTATGTGTGTATGTGTATGTGCATGTGTATGTGTGTGTGTACTTTATTGTTATTGGCATATCAGTGGCTCAATGGAAATGGGAGGGGTGTGCACTCAGAGAAACAATGGGTACCCTATTCTGAACAAGAAGGTGGTTTCCCACAGCAACCTGATTCAGTATCTAAATTCAAATTCTCAATTATTTTGTTTAGGCATTGAAAAAATGATTATATATTATATTACATAACACTTAACATAATGTGCTTAATTTTCAAACATGCAAGTTATATAAGTACATATATTTCAGCTCTTACTATAACTTTCATAACTATCATATGAAATGACCCGTTTTTAAGTGCAGTGTACATGGTGGGGAGGGAGCAGGCAATCCATTGACAAGTCGGCCCACCAAAAGTGTGAATGTTGCAGAATTCTTTTTTCGGGTCCCGAGGTCAAAAGTGGGCGGCCTGGGGGAGGAAGCGGGTGGAAGGCAGACTTAGGCAGCTTGTTGGCCATGTGGCATGCAATAAATGGCACGATTCAATGAATATCCATCTTCCGATTCGACATGCTATCCCCATCATCATCATTCTGGCAATTCCATTTGCAGACCCACTCTCATCATCGCTCCCATCAGTTTCTCATTTCGTTGGCAAGTAGAGTGTAGGCTTACTTTGGTGTAATTGATTCCCTGGACGAGATCCCTGCGATTATGGCCACCTAATTGATAAGAAAGGCGTCCTTCAAAGGGTTTTGTTGCCAGGCTGCGGCTCTCAAGTCTTCCATCTTCATGCGGTCCAAATTGCTGACAGTTGCCGTTTTTTTAGCAATTCCAATTTATTTCTTGTTACAACAGCTGAGCCCTTGTCCGTAAAACAGGGCACATGGCAACACGACATTTAATCCGTTGGGCCCTCAAATATTTGTGTTTGTTGTACGAACTGCTGGCAAACAGACGGAAAAGGCAGATGACTAAACGGAAGTTTTGTTTATTTGTTTGCCTTTAATCAGGCGACAGATCAACAAGCCAAATCCGAATGGATTGGCATGTGCTAATGAAAAGTTGATTCAAGAGCAGCTGTGGGATGGCAAAGAGTGCGAAGATGCGCAATGCACAATGCACAACTTTCGCCACCAGCACGTGCTCAATTCTTTATTCCATGGAAGACCAGCTCCTCCAGCTCCAGCAATCTTTTGGTTTTCCACATTACCGCCCCCGCTTTCTCCACCCACCCGCCGCCCCCTTGTCCTGGCAAATCTGCGCCTTTAATAAGCTCAGCTGCATTCAGCTTTAGAAAATGGATAGCTCGGGGGGAGGGGCAGGGAGTATACGGTACAGTGAGCTATCCTTAGTTAAGCCTTTGCAAAAAAATACATATATCTTCAAACCAACAAGTTTATTAAAGGGAATTTGGAGTTCTCCACCTTTCCTATACAAGAACTGGTAGTACTAAGAAGTTTATTTGTGATGGTAGTACTGCATCCATTTCGGCTCAGCAGAAGCTCCACTGTACTGCGAAAGCATTGAAGGCCAAAGAAAAACTGTCGCTGTCAACTGTCAAGAAGGGGGCGTGGTCCTGGTCTCGGACGATGTCTCTTGAGTGGCACTTGCCTCGCTTACAAGGGCCATCGAAGTGGAGCGAAGTGGGGCCCAGGAGCACGATGGAGGCGAGGAAGTCGCAGCATGGGCACTTTTTATTATCCACATCAGTGGAGTGTCCCTGCTTCGCTCCCACCCACCATCTTCATCACCATCACCATCTTCATCATCATCATCATCATCGTTCAGAGTCTTCTCCTTGTGCCTTTGAATTGCTAATAATTTTGTCGCAAGCGTTTGATGGTTTACTCACTCGGAAATAAAGGCACCACCGCCAGCTTCGCCGCTGCTGCACCACCACCTATTGCCATTCCCAGTGCGATGGCAACCACCCGGTCGCGGATCCTGGTCCGGAACTAGAGTTATGTACATAACTGAATATATAGCCATAAATTTAGGGTAGGTCATAGCCACTCTGCAGTGTAATATGGTTGCACATACTTACAACTAGTGCCCATTAATGCATAGAAGCCACCCTTTTTCTCATTCGGTTTTTTAGGGCTAAGCCCAAAGCCAACTGGATGATTCATACGCCCCCTCAGCCCGCCGAGAATTTCGGAACTACCACCACTATGCGGCACATGGGGAGGTCGACCTTTCGGAACCCTTGACAAAAAAGTGCAATGCAATTAATTTTTCGCGAAATTTTTTAAGAAAGGGAAGTTGCCGCGCCCCCGCCACTCACACGCTTACACTGGCAGAAAATGGTTTAATTTCATGCTTTACATCTTATCCAGAAAAGACACATAATATATATTATCACATACAATGCTATTTAAAACTGTATTTGATGAAATGGTCTAGTGCTGGTTTTCGCTGAGTGTATTTATTTAACTTCTCTTTTCGTCTTGCTCAAGTGACGTTTTAGTGTTTGCATTTGACGAACGCAGCGGAGGAGAAATTCACAATCAGAATGGATCACCACCAGTTCGAGGGTATATATATATATGTATACGTATATATATGGAGTATAGATATAGGGCTGTTCTTCTGGCTCGCATCTGCGAAATGTTTATTTTATTGTTTGCCCATCTCGCTGCCACTCCCGCTGTCGCGGTTCATTAAATTAAAAACGGCCAATTCGAGTGACTTGAATTCGGAGCAATACATCAAAAACCATCGCATTTTGGTGGCAGGAGAAAGGAGGGGTGGGCGGGTGATAGGTTGGTAGGTTGATAGGTTGATGGGTTGATGGGGTGCTGTTTTGCCGGCAGTTGCAGCTGATCGGAGTGGGCGGCGAAAGTGGAAGGGGGTGCAAGCAGGTTCCCAGCAGCTGTTCTCTCGGTGAAATGCGGCGAATTCGCCAGTCCCTCTCTCTCTCTCTCAGTCTCTCTCTCTTTCCATGTGAATTTCCAAAGGAACTGCAAACGAGGGTTGTTTTCCAAGCTCCCTGCTCCTTTTTTATCATTGTTTCGCCGGCATTCGGGAACAGCACAAATGTTCGCCACCGGTCGCGTGTTTTTTTAAAGCATTTTTCTGTTATTCATTTCCTGGAAATTATATATTTTTCTTCTAATTTGAGCTACGTTGTTTGCTTTTTGCCGAAATTTATTCTGCTTTGGGGACAGCCAATCTCCCCACCTACCCCCTTTCGTTCCCCAGTCAGACAGTTTTTCGGACTCCAACTCGGTTGCTGTTTCGATTTTGTGTTTTTTTCTTGTCGCCAAAGTTCCACAAAGTTTGTGTAGCGGCAGAAGGAAAACAACTTAAGGATTCACCAGTGTAATCTAATTCGGCATGGAGTAAACTGTAATAATAACGAGGTCCAAAAGATGGTAAGAATCCATTGTGGGGGATTTCTAAATTCAAAATGGATGCAGGCAACCACCCACCGTTCAATCTGCATGTTAATTAATAATAAGCGTGTTCATATTTTTCATTCCTCTTGAAAACGGGGGTTCAGTTTAATCCCAACTCGGATTTTTAGAGCGATCGTCAGGAACACGCGTGGAGTTTCCCCCTCTAATAAACTTCCCCGTCATTACAATGGATGATGTTCATGGGATAGGACACTACAGATAAGGGGGTTACTACGAGCAGCAGCGTATTAAACAATTTGCTATCTTGTTATGCATACACAGTGGAAAAAAGTTATGCTTAGGTCTAGTTTGATTAGGAGTTATCTCCATTAAGAGCATCACCCTTTCCGTATTTCACTTCCGCTTTTAGCATGAAATACTAGCGTAATTTTCAGCTTGTTATGACTTTCTCTCTTTAACCCGACCCTTATTCAGCTAAGAAAAGTGATTGTTTACTTTTTCCTGTGTAAATGAAAGCTTAAGTCCGAGGGGTTGTCCGGACGCGAACCCGGACATCTTACGGAAGTGCGTTTGCGGGTGCAAATGGCCGTATGATGTGCCACCCCTCGCAAATCCCTGCTCGTTTCCAATCCACCGGCTGGTGGGCTCTTTTTTATCCCCAGGACACGGGTGCAACATGTTGCCGGGATTTGTTTTGTTAATTTCTGTTTTGGTGTAGTCGCTGAACCCCTTAAATCATTTTTCGGGCCACCCTCGGCGTGTTGCAAGCCGCATGCTAATTGAAACCTGTGCGGAGCTGGGGCTTTCAACTTTTCTGGCTGCCTTGGTAGCCAAAAGTTTTTGGGGTCTGAGCGGTTTCGATTAATTAATAAAGAATTCATGTCTGATTTTATAACTTCATCAATAAGCTCCGCTGTCGGCACCGCTTGCGTTTCCCGTCCCTCCGCTTTTATGGGGGAAATTCACAATGAATATTTATGCGCGTCGCCTCTTGAATGGGAAATGTGGGGAAATGGGAGTGGGCTCTGTTGGGTGGCTGGGTGGTTGGGTGGCTGGGAGGAGGTGCAGTGGCCAACAGCTGTCGACAGGCGCACCAGTTGCCCCAAATAGCGCCTTGGGTGGGAAAATCTTGGGCCTAACGCTTTGGCTCTCTAATTTTATTAACACGTTCATCATTCCTCGGCATTCGACGGCACAAGTGGCGCCTGAGGACGGCAATCAGTCTGGGGATCCCCATTTTCCGCCAGCCAACCCCCCAATGCCCCCCATGCTTTTCCAACGGCTGCCGCCTGCTGTTGCCTACAATTTTCCCATTCTCCTGCAAGGGGGCATTTTCATATCGGTCTCCGCGTCCCATGCATGGAGGCGAATTAATAAAAATTATTGCATATATTTGTAATTCCGGGTGCCTCTTCAACGGCTGCTGGGCAAGGGGTGTAATGAGGGGGTGGTGGGTAGTGGGTGGCGTTTGGCTGCCGGGCGACTTCTTTATTGACGCGTGCTGCTGCGTTTTATCGCTCCCTCTGCTCCCACTTGCACCCCACCCCCACTGCCACTCGCTTTTCTTTTGACTCCCCTTTTTCCGCCGCTGTTGCAGATGAAAGCGTTTTCGACAAATTTCACTACACAACAAGGAAATTTAGAGTTATATTAAAATGTTGGTTATTGCTTGACTTTGCAAGCCAAGAATTGCCTATAAAAAAAGTTTGATGCGGCTAATACATATTAAATTCCAATATGTAGCAAATAAATAAATGTTGCAAACATTATGACAGTGTTCTACTACTGACTAAGATTTCTAGCAATATTGTTTATAAGTTAACTATTACATTGTGTGAATAGAAATATTATACATCATTTAAACAAACGGAAAATGGCATTTTTATAAAGGAAACTTTGAGTTATCTATTTCTCTGTCTGTAAATTTTATGGAGCTACAAAAGACTGGCAGCCAAAGCCCAGGAATTCGTAGCCAAGTGCAGCGAAGAGTTCTTACTACCGGGAATTTCGGGAATCTGAAGCAGGTCTCTGCATAATTAATTTGATAAATAGCTGGGGCGGCAAAGAATTCAGCTCGCCAGCCACAAGGAAGTTAGGATTGCTTGAAAAACTCTCGACTGAGCAAACAGACTCGAAACTGCTATCTATATGGGCTACTATGAGTATATCTCCATACGAGTATATGTGCTGTAATCAGGGACTTGTGCGATATTCAGCGATTCATTTACACTTGAATCCGTAAATGTTGTGGCGTTGTCATTCATTTTGTTAGCACTAAGGCAAACAATTTATAACAAACTGTCTGAGTCTGGATGGCTGTGTTTTATCGTCACGTCACACAGATGAAAAAGTCGTGATGTAATTCTTTATCGATTACAGTTGACACGCGGGGGAAAAGTGTGGAAAATTGAAGCCGGGGTCTGGGTTGTTGACTCCGGTGATTTATGGTGTTGCATGCATCCAAGTTCCTGGGTCGTTCTAATGTATCTGTGGCACCGTGTGGCACCCCCCTCGACCCCTCGACCACTCGACGATTCGGACTCGGATTCGGATCCTTTGTCGCTGTCCATTAGCTTGTAAAACGCTGCTGATTGGCACTGTGATATGGACAATTAAATTGTCGTTCTTAATCAGCGCCGAGTGCACTAATTCATTGTGTTTAATTTCCTTCGCATTTTATTTAATGTTTTTTTCTTCCATTTCATTCTTTTTTCCCCGTGCCCTGGTCAATTGCACTTTTTCAGAGCCAATGCGGGTCGCCTACGTTCGAGAAGGAATTGCGCGAACAAATTGAGAAGTAAGTGACAAATAGGTTAAATTGTTAAACGCGATAAGAACACGCGTTCGGATCGTGTGGGAAATGAAGAAAGAAGAGGGGGTGTGCGATGGGTTGGGCTATAGGCCAGAACTTTGCCAGTTCCAGTTACTAGAGTCAAGCTCCATTTAGCGTATGGCCAAGTGAACGAACCGGCCAAATATTTATTTAATTCGTCTAGCCGGCAATTTTCGGAGTAGTTTTCGCGCTGCTTTTGGCAAACCGTACATACAGCGTAAATAACTCATACCAAAACTCGTGACTGGCCACGCCCACTGCGGCCCCTTTTGGCCATTACGCACAGAACAAGTTAACGGCACGGCGAATGCAATTTTCCAAATTGCCAAGAATCGGAGGAGGACGATGGAGAAGGAAGCGCTTACCCGCGAAACCCATCAATCACCGAGCCCTCAGCAGCGCCCTCTGCCGGCCCGAATACGCAATTACCGCGACTTGGAAATGGTGCAAAGTTCTGGTCTAGGCCGAGATTTAACTCCACTTTCGGCCCTTTCTTTCTTTATGACCGCCATTAGCAGCTAATTTCCATGCAGATTGTTATGCAAACGTTTCGTTTTGAAAACAAATCGCCAGAGAATCTCGATTAGTGATTACTTATTTCAGACTTCAGCTCCCACTATCTTATAGGTAGTTAATTTTTAGATGTATGCTTAAGCAACAAAATAGTAAATGAGCTCATTACTTCATTTCTTGAACTATTCCTCAAACAGTATTTACTTATTATTTGTTGTTGACTCCTTTAAAGACATAAATATTTTAAAGACATACATATGTGTTTGTTTACAGACCGTTGTATTTGTTTTGTTTGCTATCTTTTAGCAAGTTCGCTGTTTATTTCGATGTTTATGGGAGTACCCATCATCCGACAAAAAGAATCATTTCTGCCATTCAGTCCCACACAAATAAGTAATCAATACTCGAATTTCTCTGCTGAAAGCACCCTGCGTTTGCGATGATTTTTGCAACTCGTTTTCATTTATGCATTTCTATATTTGTCCTCTTTTTTTCGCTTTTCCTTTGCAATCCGCAGCATGAATCGCATTATGAAATCCAAAGAACGCAAGCAAATGCAGACATGTCGGGATCACAAGGCACTGCAGGTATGTATCGGATGGAAATGGAAATGGGAAATGGGGGGATGGTGGCGGCGGGGAAGGGGGTTGGGGAGGGGCTTTTCCGCACGGAGCCGCACAGCATGTGGAAAATCAATTTGCACAGCGCGAGCTTCCACGTGGCGGGGGAAAGTCGGTGGTAAGCAGGAGGGAGTTCCCTCCGAGTCAAGTCATAAATAAACGCATAAATTCATTTTTAAGAACAATATCTCCCCTCGCTGCCATTCCGGCGCATACAAATTGTCTCTTATCCGGACGGACGGAGTAAGCGGAGTAAGCGGAGTAACCGGAGTCGTCTTCGACGAGACTTTGTTTGGGCACATTACATTCTTTGCCCGAATTGATTGAGCGTCGGCATTAGCGACGCTCCACTGCGCCCTAGTGGCAGCTTTTCATTACCATTTTCCACAGGCGGCGGGGTAGTGGAAAATGTGCTTTCCCTTTCGTCGCCAACTGCTGGCAATCTCATTTGCCCCCGCCAGCCAAACTCTCGCCCAATCTTGTAAGGCCCCGCTAATGAAGCCCAAGGTTTTCACGTCCAACGTCTAAGCATGTGACCTTCGGGCCAGTTAACAAGTTGGCTTTGATCGAGATTGGATATTTGTTACCAGCCGGGAGTGGGATATGGGCTATGGCTATGGCTGTGGCTGTGGGTATGGAGGGGCTGTTGTAACTACTGCTCACTTAGCACTTACAGAAAAAAGAAAAAGCGCCGGTTGATGGATGAGGAGCCGTGTGCCAGCAAGTGACCCTCATCAGGGCAGCTGTCATGGGGCGAAGGTTGCCCCCAGCACTCGATAAATACTCGATCTAATCATTTGGCCCTTTCTCAGCACAGGTCTTCACTGGATAGATCGTTTTCTTCACTTTGTGCAATATTCAATTAAAACGTCTTTAGTATGAATGTCCCTTTCTCTTTTAAACATCAAAACTACAAATATGAAATGTATCCAAAAGTCACAGCTATTTGTGTCTATCAATCTGAGGTTTACGGCACATTTCCATTATAATTATTATTATCTAAAACAAACACTTATTCATAGATAATAAAAAAAACCCCTCATTTATGACTGTTTCATTTTTATCTAAGTGAAGTCCAAACTGATTATAACTCAGAAAAACATATACTATTGAAATGAGATACATATATAATCGGGATAAGCACTGTTACTAGACTGCATTACTTAAGATCATTTCGGCTATTGATTCCTTACAGACTCGCTTTGCCCGCCAGGAGAGCCTGCTCCAATCGATGCAGCAGGAGAATCGATCCTTGCTCACCCGCATCCGGCAGTATGAGCACTGCTTGGATGATGTGATGCGCAAGGTGGTGGACGCCATTGTGGCAGAAGATAATCTCCGGGAGGAAGTGAGCATGCTGAAGGGTCGGGTTCGCGATCTGGAGGCGCAGAATGCCGCTCTGTCCGCCAGTCCGGTGAAGGGCAGGGATGAAGGCTACTGCACCATGAGCAGCGGGCAGCCGCAGCCGTCGAATGGACACCTGGAAGATCTGCCCGAAGAACCGGAACAGTGGCTCCTGCCTGCTGAGCCCTGCTCAACGGAAATGGAGGACTGGAGCATGTCGCAGGAGGAACTGGCGGTGATGACGTTCGACGACGAGCGGGATCCACATCACCCTCATCTCCAGCAGCAGCGGCGGAAGAGGGATCACGACTGGCTGTGGCCATCCAGCGACTTTATCAACTCCACCACTGTGGAAACGGATTCAGTGACCGATGGCATTACCCAGCTGCTGCAGCAGAAGGTAGTGGATACATCTCTTTTCCTCCTGGCTTACTTCTAATCACTGCCCGACATTTCAGATTGTTTACTCCGAGGACGAGGAGGTGGCCTGTACGGACTTCACCAACGACTTCTACAAGCTGGTCAACATCCGTTCGAACTCCTCGCGTAGTCTTTACTCTTACTTGGAGGGCGAGACAGATGATGAGGATGAGGACGACGATGATGGCGAGGATTCCAGTATCTCAGAGAGCCAGGTGGGTCCCGTTGGGAGAATCAGTCCCACGCCCAGCGAGGCGGGAAGGGCCCAGTTGACCAGCTGCTCCTCCAGCGAAACGGACGAACTTTCCGCCAGCCAGGCAAAGAAGGACGAGGAACCGGACTACGCGGTTATCGACGAGTGCCGGCGGAGGGTTAGCGACATTGAAATCGAGGATGTGCCCATGATTGTTAGCAGCACGCCAATGAAACCACTGGATGAGCAGCAGTGTATTGCTCAGATCATCAAGAGTGAACTACGTCGACCGCCCCACGTCCTGGTGAAATCCAAATCGGTGCTAGAGGACCAGGAACCCAGTTGCATTCTGAGACACAATCAACGCCGCGAACTGGAGTCCACCGTCGTGCGCAGCGATAGCATCAGCTGTGCCATGATGAATAAGTTGGCCAAAGAGGTGGTGCCACCGGCGCCTGGAATGGTAACCAAGTTAAAGGAGAGGATGCTGCTCAGACAGGCATCCACGCCTCCGACGGCCAGCTCCTGGCGCAGGAGCAATGGCTGGAAGAGGGTAACATCACCGGTTCATCCACCGGTGGCTGTCTCGCCGAAAAAGGTAAGGGATTCACACAGTAATGCTACGATGAAGGATATAAAGTTGTGGATTTCGATTTTCAGAAGGCAGCCAAGTCAACGCAGCCGCCAAAGAGTTGCTTGCCCAAGGCGCAGCCCACCAGAATTCCAACGAGCATCCATTCATCGGTGTCCTCGTCCTCCTCGATGTCCTCCTCCTGCTCGCCCTCGCCCTCCTCCCCCTCGCCGCAGTCACCACAGCAAAGGTCACCGGGTCAGCAGCCCCAGCAGCAGCAGCAGCGAAAATCGAAGATTCCTCCACCAGTTCCCGTGCGAAGATCCTACGCCAGTTAGGATAGACCAGCACTGCTAAATCTCAAATCAATAATCGTCAAGCTAACAAATATTTAAAGATTTAAAAAGACTAAATTGTGATATATTCAAACAAAACAAAACAGAACCGCGAGATACAGAAGCATTAAGATGATGGCCAGAGGAGCAGGCGAGTTTTGTACGTACGAATACGAGTATTTATGTATATTGTAAATTTTTGGAAGATGTTTTACCTTGTAAGCGGCACTGCCAACTGTTCCCCCTAAGAAAAAATCAAAACAACCAAACCGAACAGCTCGCCCTGCTCTATACCGCATATATTTTGTAGAGCAGCGGTTGCAGCATCCAAATCAGCGGGTTATATAGTACTAACTATTATGGGACATTTTGAATGACTTCAAACTGAATTCAAACCACTATTAGCTATGGTCATGAACCTATGAGTAGATGAACCAAAACTGTAGTCTTCCGCACAAGTCGAGTGTATTTGTAGGACTTGGTTAAAGTTAACCACATAAGCTAATCCGGATTAGTACTCCTCAGACACAACAGCAGTTGAACATTTGCATTTAAGGGTGAAATATTTCAAGGTGTTTACGATGCAGTATAGGATGCATATATATATAGATACGACACATATATATATACGGTTTCTAAGCGAACATTACACGACAACCATAACAATAAACTGTACATAGCAGTCGTTCTTAAAGCTAATGATAATGACAAGCTCTTCTTCAACCGTAGTTAGCTCCTCAGGGCTGCTGCCACCGACTACTTCATCGCAGCAGCCCGATTCCTAAGCATATACTTACACTATATAGAACAGAACGCACTATGATCGAGAGGAGGGAACCTAGACGTAAGCTCGTATAAACATTATAAATGTATTTTCTTAGCGTAGCGAGTACAAAATAAACAAAAAGAAGTTACAGAAAAATTGATCATTGACCTAACCAGGTGCCCTGGCCCTCGAAATTCAGTTATCACGGCTTGGGTTGGTAAAATCTTACATAAATACGGGTATGTACTATACGAATCAATAACATAAAATGCAAACACACACGATCACTTAGACTACCACCTAGGTGCTATGACAAAGAATGAAATCCAGCTCATGCTTCAGCTGAATAGAACTCAATCGTGATTCCGGGGCGCTGACCCAGCAGCTTTTGTATAGTTTCGAGTAAGCGCTTTCCGAGCACGCACTGCCCTCCGGCGCCGGACTATCAAAGTGGAGTGCTAATCGGTTCCGGCGGCGCTTCTTTTTCAGTTCACGGCCGGCGGTGTAAGATGGATCGAGGCTCAGATTACGTCGCGCCGAGGTATTTGCCGTTCTGCAGATCACGTTGGCGGCGCTTTCGTTGGCCAAGCTCCGATCGCAGTCAATGGTAGAGTCCAAAGCCAGAATCTTTAACTGATGATAGTTGTCCGGACGCAGTTCGTGCTTAACCACCTGGTAGGCTATGGTTTCATTGCAATCGAGCGTGTGATAGGGCAATCTGCGAGCTTGCAGTTGCCACATTGTAATGCCCAGGGAGTAGATATCGGAGGCTTCGGTAAGAGTATCCGATCGCAGCGCTTCTGGAGACATGTATCGCAGGGTTCCCTTGGCAACGGATGGCTCCTGCCAAGCACAAAATTCGCCAACTTCAATGGAGGAGCCAAAATCGCAGAGCTTGCAGATGTAGCTTCGCTTCACTTTGACCTTAGTGGCATTTCCAGCTACCGAAGACTTTGTTCCCAGGGCAACCAATATATTGGTTGGCTTTACATCCAGATGTAATACGTTTTGGGAATGACAGTATCTCAGTGCAGCAACCACATCCAGAGTTATTCTAAGAAGATAATGGTTATTACAAAGTATTAAGCGGGGATATAGTCGCATACAAGACCCTGTGCATCAGTGGTAGAGCCAAAGTGTCAACGATCCTCTGCAGACTTTGTCCCCTCGGACACTCCATGATGACCAAGCCGAAATCTGGGGCGGACTCCAGCTTCAGAAGGCGTACAATGTTCCGGTGCTCCAGGTTCAGCAAATGGGACTCATTGTGCAGAGTTGAGGCCGCCTGGGCACGAATTATCTTAACAGCAACGGAGCGATCTAGACCATATATTGGAAATTATCTATGTACATATGAATAAGTCATAGTACCCACCTCTGTATATAGCTTTAAAAACGGTGCCGTGGGCTCCACGTCCGAGCACCTGACACCTAGTGGGTACGGGTGGACCATCCTTGAGCAATTGCTTTCTTTTTGGTGTATTTAGTAAAAGGTCTCCCATTTCTCAGCCATCTGAAAGTGATCTATGGCGGGTATTTGATTTTTAAGAAGTCCACATGGTCATCGACTTATAACGGTTCTTAAACAGCTGACTGGGTGATAATGTTGCCCCACTATCCAAAACGATATTAATCGTACCACTGTCAAAGACTACATTAATTTGAAGAAGAACTGGCATTTCTAGATATACTCTTTATTGTATTTTACAATTTATTCCCTCGGATCAAATTAGTTTCAATTGTATATATTTATACTAATAATGCACACTGATTCACTAAAAGTTCCTATCCAGCAATTACATCATGAAGAACTAACCGCAATGCACGGATATATAATTATAATAAATGGATCTTAAGGGCTTCGAGGGTTCATTTTAGGCTTAATACTATACAAATAAATATTATTACAAATGTCTGCCGCTATGCTCTTCCATCATTACGTTCTAGTTGCGCTCTCTATGCAATTTCTCGGTCTCCGCCCGCAAATCCTGTAAAAGAAATGTAAGGTAAAATAAGAACTACATTTTAAAAAATATCAATTTAAATTGGAAATTCATTATTACCCGGAAAGCCTCCTGGATTTTGTCTGTGATGAGCTTCCGTGCCGTTGGCTCCGGCACTTGTCGTTTTTTTAGGTCCAGAATAAAGTCGTTGAGGTCCAAGGGCTGGCCCACATTAAGGGTGACCTTCTTGTGCCGCTGTATCACATAGGGCTCCACATTGGGCAACAGTTCGTCCATGCCCTCGTGCCACATGGGCAGAATGATGGGAATCTTCGGCGACTCGTAGATGATCCTGCCTACGCCCCACTTGAGTCGCAGCTCCTCCTTCTCCATGTTCACCTTGCCTTCGGGAAACACATGGATCCAATGGCCCAGTGCGGCCTTCTCGATGCACAGGTTAATGGCATTCTGGTAGACACCGATGCCACGCACCACAGGTATGCACTTGCCTGCAAATGGAAAGTTGTGGGTCCCCAAAATGCGGAAGTACGCAATTAAATACCTACCGTACATAAAGAAGAGCGAGTGCAGCTTGTTGGTGAAGCAGATGTCGTGGGCAGCCATCGACCAGCGGATTTTATAGGTGTTGCAGACGATTCCCAGGGGAAGGCAGCCCCACAGGCCAGGATCGTCGAAGCAGGAATAGTGGTTGGACACGGTGACCAGGGGAACGCCCTGGGGTCGCTTGGAAATCAGCTGGATCAGTCGCTCCTTGTTGTAGACGCGGGGTTTATTCAAGAACACTGCAAAGCAAAAGAAGAGAGGCGAAAGTTCAGCATTTGCATAATTGTGGCGGGGGGCACCAATTAACAACACGGCACACGTTTGACCTCGTTGAACGAGATCGGCAGCATCCGCACACATCGTTTATCAATCGAGAGATTCGCTGACGCATTCGGATTCGCATTCACGGTCAGGGGCATGAGCTCTCCGAGCAAACGCCGAGTTTCTTGGCCAAAAATAAACGTGCCTTTGGGCCAGTTGTTTGGTAAGGTCGGCTCTGCCGGCTAGATACTCACTCAGCACAACCTTGCTGAAGATTCCAACGGCGGAGACGACGAACTGGCTGACCACGTACCAGAACTTCGAGGGGTTCCTCAGCCTAGGGAATATCCAGTCTATGTTGTAGGGCATCGCCACGCCGGTGGCCACATCCAGGGGGGGATCAGCATTCCGGTCGGACATTGGGGGCGGAAGGGTAGAGGAGTTTAGCTTCTGGGACGGCGATGGAGGCGAAGGCGGTCGCAGGTCCTTCGACTGGCTGCACCGCTCGGTCTGAGTGGCGATATCCTTCCTATCCTGTTGGCTGCCCGGAAAACGCTCATCGGGCACTGGCCGCGCCTCCGGAGCTTGGACGTACTGCTGTGGGTTCGAGATAATGACGGAAATTGAATTACCGACGTCCACAAAGTGCACCCAAAAAATCCCACTGCTGACCATGGATACTCTTTAATCTTATCGGGCCCAAGAATAGTTTCCTTTTGTGCTTGTCTGGCCACACGCCTTTCAGAGTTACGCATTTTGATTTATATTTGAATAATTCTTTTGTCAACTGTTCGACTAACACAACAACCCCCGGAAAAGCCGCCTTTGTGCCACAGGTTAGCAGCATGCGCACTGATAATCTTCGGCTGCGAGACACCGCACTGTATTTTCGCGCGAATAATAATGCAGGAAAACTCACGGCGTCAGAGATCTCAGGCGACCTTCACTCGGTGCGAGATGTACGTATTACATTGGGCACCTGAGAATCTTTCGCATCCGGACGGCGGGAACTTTCGAGCGTAACTGATTTTCGTCTCCACTGAAATCGCCAAGTGCAACAAGCTCAAAAGCAAAAGCACGCATAAAACGAGGGCGTTTGCCCCCAAACAAAGAGAGACAAAGCGATAACGAGCGAAGGAAAGGGCCCCAGAGTAGTGAGGCAACAGTCAAGTGGTCGACTAGAGATTGTGAAACTATCTTTATCAGTTAGCAGAAGTGCTTAGCCAAGCGCTTCCCTGAATAATGATCACGCTGCTTCGGTTTGATATGATAAGTATTCAAATTAGTGCGCCAAGGTGGGTTTGCGTTCTGGTTGCGCGGTGGTGAGTTTGAACCCAGTGTTCTTATCAGTTGCTCAATCTGGATTATTTTTCTTGATAATAGGTGCTTTTGTTTACCCAGGTTATGTATAGGCAAGCGAATAAAAATAATGTACACCTACACATATTTAAAGAGTTAACAATTTTAAAATGATAATTCTTCAATTCGCTGATTCTTTGTGTAAATTACCCGATAACAAATTTAACTGAATATAAAAAATATCTCGCCAGTAGCTAAGGTCACTAACCAATTAATACCTAAAAATGTTACCAATGCCTAAATGCCTAGACCCATTTAAATTTTACCGCCAACATTGGTGGGAAATGGAACAAGTGGTCAGATCTGGAACGTGGTGAAAAAGAGGAGAAAGCGATGGCCTGATTTTGTTTATATTTATTGCCTGCATTCAGGTGAAACATTTCAGGGTTAGTTGCTATAATTGAGCTTACCCGCGCCAGTGCCCGGATCGGCGGTGTATATCCTCCGCTAATCAGCCAGTTTATATTTCGCGCTGCAGAGGCGGCGCCCACGTGCCCGGGACGCCTCAAATTGGAACACACGACCATCAACATTTCCACAAGTTCTTAATTTTACGAGTACGATATGTATGCAGTTATTTGGCCTATACGGTCTTTACATAACCGGCTTTTGCGGGCCGAATAAAATTCACTTTGCAATTTTGGACGCGCGCACTGCTTGCTTCTTCGCCCAACCGCCACTTCTTCACCTCAGCAGCAAACTCGTGGGCGTACGGGCGGGCGGCGCCGTGTTCACTTGGCGCATGTCTGAAGGGGGTCGTTATTGAGCTGAGGAGCGGCGAAAGTCCCAAGGCCAATAGTATCTGAAGAAACTAGAAATTTGAAGATAAACCAAACTAAAACAGCTGTTTTTTTGCCATTTATGTCCAACTGATGTTCGGACGTTTTACAGCACCAACAAAGTGTTTACCCACACTTAGTTCTGGCAGTCTGGTAACACTGAAAGCAGCTTAAAATATTTTATCGTGGTTTTGTAATTCCCACAACAAAATATCAATTAAAAGCGAGCTTTTTTTGGATTTTCAGTGCAAGAATGTCTCACAACGCTCGCCCCCTTACCTCCGCCCGTGTCCTGCACAAAATCAAGGCTCTAAGCACCCCGCAAACCAGCACTGAATACGTGATCAACCGGAATCCCCGTAACTTGGAAAGATTACGCATTGCTTACAAGCCGGGCGGCTATCATCTAGAGAAACCCGGTCGATCCTACTGGCACACTTTGGAGATCAACTCCACTGGCCGCTACGTTAGTGCCGATGTCAAGCACTTCGAGAATGGCACCATCCTGAGTGCCAGCACCTCGGAATGGGCCATTAAACAGCAGCTGTACAAGACCAACGACACCTCCGCGTTTGTAAACCTCGGGAGAGTGCTCGCACACCGCTGCCTGCAGTCTGGGATCACGGAAATGACCTGCAACGTGGAGGCGGTACCGGGTAGCAAGCTGCAGAAGCTGCTCCAAACCCTTCAGGATAATGGTGTGTCCTTCAAGGAACCCTCTCGCCTGCCCAACGCCCAGCCCTGGGATGCCCAGAGGCATGAGAAGCCCTGGGAAGTGTCGGAAGAGGCGCTGGAAACCACCAAATCAAAATAGCCAACAGAAACCACATTTAGTTTTCGTATCGTTTAGAATAAACGTTGATTATTATTGCTAATTACAACGAATCATGGTGATTTATTCGTATTTGCCCTTGATGTCCTTCCAGAGTTTCTGCAAAGGGGAAAAACTTGAGATTTGGCCAGGAAACTTTGCTTACATAATGGGATTATACTTACGCCTTTGTTGACGCCCTCGAAAATCGCAACCGACGTGACATCGATGGCGCGCTCGAAGAAAAAGGCCGACGCAATGATGGCCACGGCGTAGGTGGAGGTGCGCTTGAACAGGGTGTTGTAGATAACCTTCATGTTGACTAAATTTTTGTTAACAACGTTCGATTTGCTAAGGCAAACTTTTTCCACACGCCAAATTCACAGCTGATTTGTAAGGTTGAATTGACAAACAGTGTTGGAAACGTCTACAATTACTTTAGTACGCTTTGGTATTTTTGCTTAAAAACGGTTTTGAATGTCGGTCGTATGGTGTTCTTTGTCGTCTTAAAAGCGGTCACACTGGTCGATGGGGCAAAAACAAACGATTTGTGAATATGCCAAATTACCAGGATATTTAGCGTAATTGGGCCTTCTCTGCGTGGACCATGGACATTGGCACTATTGAGCTGAGCGTGGAGGCGCTGATCGGATCCTTGCTGGCCCTCAGTGTCCTCTTTGCCTTCTGCCGCAGTTTGCTTTCCGAGGACTTTGTGAGCACCTTCAAAACACGTCACAGCTGGAAATCAATAAAAGTCTTGGAGCAGGTGAGTGGATTCACTTGCCAAGAAAGATATACTATAGAACGCATGCCCTTTATCCCAGGCCTGCTTCTGCAACGTGTGCGAGATCCTGCTTACCCCTTCCGCTGGACTCTTTTGCGACTGCTGCGGCCTATGCACCCATGCCACGCCCGCCTGCCAACGGAGGGCGGACAGGGAGTACCGGTGCAAGGACAAGTGGTTGCGCAACGAGTCCTCCGTGCGGCACTTGTGGGTGCATGGGAATCTGCCTATGGGAGTCCATTGTGCCGACTGCAAGGAGGAGGTAGATCACCATGTCAGCACCGATCCGGGATTGTACGGATGGCGATGTGCCTGGTGTCAGCGGTGCTATCATAACGATTGCTACTCCCGCGCTGACACCAAGGAAGCCTGCGACTTTGGCGAGTTCAAGGACATGATCTTCCCGCCCTATAGCTTTGTGGCCGCTCGCACCAGGGACTCGATGCGGCTCCACTTGGCCAGCATTACGCCGCCAGACATCGAGAACTGGGAGCCGCTTATTGTGATCGCCAACACCAAGTCGGGCAGCAGCACTGGTGCCAATGTATTGTCCCTGCTGCGCGGTTACCTGCATCCACTGCAGGTGATGGAACTGGGCTCAAGGGGCCCACAGGACGCCCTGCAGTGGGCCGCCAAAGCCAGTCCTCGCCCGTGTCGCATACTGGTGGCCGGTGGCGATGGCACCATCGGTTGGGTGCTCAATACAATCTACGCGCTGAATATCAAGCCCCAGCCCTCGGTGGCCATCATGCCGCTGGGCACCGGCAACGATTTGTCGCGAGTTCTGGGCTGGGGAGCAGAGCCGCCCTCTGTTCTCGATCCTGTGGAGATCCTAAGGAGTATACGGCGAGCCCGCTCCGTGAATCTCGATCGCTATGACCTGCAAATAGAGAAACTGCACTATCGACTACCCATTCAAAGGCATCCTACGAAGACGATTCATGTGTACAACTATTTCAGTGTGGGTGTGGATGCGTACATCACTTACAACTTTCACAAAACGCGGGAATCTCGATTCTATCTGCTCAGCAGCCGTATATTCAATAAGGTAGGTTACAAACTAGTGTGCTCCCTTAACCCTAACTAATACATCTTTTTCTACAGCTGCTGTACTTCACCTTTGGAACGCAACAGGTGATGCAACCTGGCTGCGAACACATCGAGGAGAAGCTGACCTTGTATCTAGACAACAAGCCAGTGCAACTGCCTGAGCTGCAGGCGTTGGTGTTCCTAAATATCGACTCCTGGGGAGCTGGCTGCAAGCTTTGTGAGCTAAGCAACTCCAATGGAGAAGTGCGTATTGTAAACTCCATCTCCGACGGCATGATGGAGGTGTTTGGCATTGTTTCCTCTTTTCACATTGCCCAACTGCAATGCAATATAAGCAAACCAGTGCGAATTGGTCAAGCCAAGCAAATAAGGGTAAGCCCTGCATAAATGTAATTGCATATCTGTTAACCAACAATCTTCTTCAGCTACAAGTCAAAGAGACCGTGCCAATGCAGGCGGATGGCGAACCGTGGATGCAGAGTCCAGCGGATATTCGCCTTGCCTCGCGCAGCCAGGCCCGCGTCCTCAAGCTGGCTGCAACCTGAACGTTATAGCTAATACAGAATAGAAATCCCTATGTGCCAGTCCCTAATCTCAAAGTACTTAACCTGGAACCTCAAACTATACTTAATAGAATTCGGTTAGCAAGGCATTCGAAGACACCCCCTAGTGGAAAACCGAGACTAGTCGAAAAATACACCAAATCGTATTTGAAAGAAATTCACTTTTATTTACTCAATAATCTTTTGAAATATAATTAAATGTTTGACTGGTGTAACATGCTGCCCTTGAGGGGCATACACAACATTTGGGTCAGTACTATCGAAAGGCGGGTAAACAACAAAATCAAGAGTGCAGCAAACGCTGAAGCCCGCTCTAGAGCATAGTCAGCTCCATGATGGCGTTGACGATGTCATGGTTGTTGTTCTTCAGGGCCTTAATGGCCTTGGGCCGCGTCGTGTTGGCCTGCGTGATGACCAGTTCGATGTCCTTCTCATCCACGCCGGTGTCATCGACCTCCTCCTCGTCTTCCTCGACAATCGGAGCCACCGATGTGGTGGCGCCCACGCTGTCGGCAGCGCCAGCGGACTCCGGAGCCTTGAACTTCTCGGCGGCAGCCACCTGGGCCTGTTGCGACAGATCCTCGATCTTGGCCTCACCGAACACGATGTAGGTGTCGCTGTGGGGGTTCTTGTACACATCCGGATTGTTGATCACGAACAGGATGTTCTTCGACTTCCTGATCGTCACCCGGTTGACGCCCTGGATCTGCTTAAGTCCCAGCTTCAGCATGATCTTCCTGGCCTTCTTCTCGCCGCGCGACTGCTTGGCCTTCGAGACGAGGTCGATGGGCAGACCGGTGGCTCCTCCGCCCAGCTGTGTGGTGGCCGCTACAGCCTCCTCAAGGTCGGGCATGCCGCCATCGGAGTCGCTATCGCTGCCATCATCTTCGACGCGGACGTCCTCGGGTTTCGCCTCAGCGGAGGTGGAGGGCGCAGCCTCACTCTTGATTTCGGTCAGTTCGGGCATCTTTATCTGTCGGGAAACAAGTGCAGAACACGAGGTTAGGTACTATATTTGCAAATCATATCAATTCAGCTAAGGGTGAAACATCTGGTGCCGGTTCAAATGGGCAGCTAGATGTCTCAGTGGGGGTCAATTCTCATTGATTTTTCCAAGTTCGATTATAAAATCGATACTTGGCTGCCCCCGTAGATTTGACTCTTATATATGATATTTTACATAATTCAAGTCGAAAATTCAAGGATATTTCGGTAAAAATTAAATTTAAGTGGAAAAACGCGGAGTACACACTCACCGGAAACTAAGAAAAGAAATATGGCGGCACGAAGTGTGACCGGCGCTTAGCAACGATTGTTCTTAGCTGATATCGATATTTTCTGCCAGTGTGAACGTTTGCAAGCGGAGATTGAACAATATACTAATTCCGACTTTGTGGCAACTCTAGTTTCATAATTCCGTTGCATTCAAATTTCTTGAAGCCTTAAGTTTAACTTTTAATTAATCTCTTAGTAAGTAAAATATTAGCACTAAAAATATAGAGACTAAACTATCCTCATAGTCATATTATTGCTAGTTTTATCTCTCCTTTTTCGTTACTGTCTGATGAACAAAAAGGAAAATGAACAAAAAATTAAAGTATTAGCTAATGAAGCAATAATAAGCGAAGAATCAAATGTAATCCCAATTTTGATTTATTTGTGTGAAATATTTTTAAGAAGTTATAGCCGCTGCCTTTGCTTTTAATCTTTTACTGGCGTAATAATTCACTTTGTGATAGTGAAATTATAATTTTACTTAAATAAAAAGAAACATTGAAAACCACAACATATTAAGTGGCTTACCCAAAGGAAAGGAAAGGTACATTGCAGATTAGGCTCAGTGACATGATTAATTTCTGCGGTTACTTGCAATAACTTAACTGTTTAAATAGTACAATTGACCGAATGAATGGTTTCACAATTGAATGTTTGACGGAGCTGGTCTTCGCCACTCAGTCTGTCACTTGAGGATGGCGATCTTCAGCTTGCTAGTGCATTCTACAAACGCTTCTCGAAGTGCTTCTTCACGCGCAGACGCCTGGAGGAGTATTTCATTAATTAAACACGCCTGATAAGGCGAGTGCCTCCACACTCGGTGCATGATTTCATTTATAAATTTGACTTCACTGACTTTGTTCGAGAAAGTTCACCGAGAAAAATTTGATACCAGTTTATTGTCATATATATGTATAATAGTATCTAGAAAGTGGGCTTGGAGGTCAAATAATTCCATTTACATTAAATTAAAAAACATTGTTCACTTTATATAAATTTTGATTAGGACAACCTGATAACTTACATAACGTAAACATTACACTATTTTCTACTCTATCACAGCCTGAGAAATAAAGTAATGCCTTTTTTTGAATAGCATGTGATCATATTTCGAAATAAGTTATTTTAACTAATATTGTATAATATATTTAATTTAATTTTCTTGTGTGGGAAGCCCTTTTCAACACGTATCCGTCGGATGCCAAAGTCCAGAGCCACTTTGTGGTAGGTTGGATGGGCGATTAGATCGGAGGAGACACACGCCAGATGACTGGATCCCCTATCGCCATTAGATAACGCTCCGGCTGAGTGGCCACTCCTGCAGCTAATAAAAGCCCTGGCCGGGATCCGTCTCCTCACAGTGAACGCGGCAACGTTCAGCACACCCAACCTCTGAAATGAAACTACCAATCCTTCTGATAGCCCTAGTGGCCATGGTGGCGGCGAAGTCCGCTCCTGGTCGCATGGCCGCGCGGTACGACCACTTCCGTATCTACCAGCTGACCATTGAGACGAACTTGCAGATGGAGGAGCTCAAGAAGATTCACGAGCACATCTCTGTAAGTACACATTACATTTTCGATTTCTGAAAAACATATATAACGTCATTCCATCTAATTTATAGATACACTTCCTCAACGAACTGGGTGCTATCGGGCATAAATACAATGTGATTGTAGGTCCCCTGTTCCACAGAGCCCTCGAGAAGACACTCAAATTCCTCGATATTGTTTTCGAAGTGATTGTCGACGATCTGCAGAAGTGAGTATTAAGATGAGATACACCATTTCAAAAGCCTACATTTCAATCCTGCCAGGTTGATAGATGATTCCGCAGTTGGCAACGATTCTAAGATGGAATGGGAGACTTACCACTCCCTGGACACCATTTACGAATGGATCGATCAGGAGTGTGCTGCCCACGATTACCTGGAGTGCAAGGTGATTGGACAGTCCTACGAGGGTCGCGACATCAAGAGCATTAGGTTGTCGAAGCGTCCGGGCAACAAGGCCATCTTCCTGGAGGGCAACATCCATGCCATGGAGTGGATCTCGTCGGCCACCGTCACCTTCCTCCTGAATCAGTTGATCAACTCTGAGGATCCGGAAATGCAGCGTCTGAGCGAGGAGTACGATTGGATTGTGGTGCCCATGGTGAATCCGGATGGCTTTGTCTACACCCACGAAGTGGAGCGTTTGTGGCGCAAGAACCGTCGTCCCAACGGATACCGCAACGAATCTGGAGATTGCTTCGGCATCGACATGAACCGCAACTTTGACTACCACTGGGGAGGTATAGTCCAATCATTTCCCCACTTTCCAACCCTCGCTAATTATTAATAATAAAATAATCAATTACCTGCAGGTGCCGGCTGGAACATCGATGAGCCCTGCGATCACTGGTTCGGCGGAGAGAAGCCCAACACTGAGGTGGAGATCATCTCGCTGCAGAACTTCGTGAGCTCCTTTGAGGATGGCTACATCCGGTCGTACATGGCCTACCACGCCTACGGACAGTACGTGCTCCTGCCCTACGGGCACTCCAACACCGAGTTCCCCCCCAACTACGAGCAGATGAAGCGCATTGCCGCTGCATTCTCCGATGCTGCCGCTGATGTCTATGGTTCCACCTTCACCTATGGAGCCAGTGGTCTCCTGAACTGTAGGTTTACATATATATTTCCGTATATCTCGTATATATCAAGTAACACTTGATGATGCACCCCTACAGATGTCGTGTCGGGAGCTGCCAAGGATTGGGCCTACGGCGTGAAGAACATCCCATTCACCTGCACCGTGGAACTGCGCGACAAGGGAACCTTCGGATTCTTCCTGCCCTCCAACCAGATCACCGAGGTGGGCCTCGAGGTCACCGCTGGTCTGAAGGCTCTGGTCAACAAGGCTGCCGAGGAGGGCATCTTCGACTAAAGCTTGGTCTTTCTAACCTGAGAGCAGATGCAGCGAAAAAATAAATAAATCATTTTATAATTATAATGTGAACATTCAAAAATGGCTTGTAAAATGATTTTATTTATAAACAGTGCAAATCAGCTGTGTGTGTTTCAAAAATAAAGAGCTACATGTGCATGTTACTTTCTGCTGTAAATACAACAAATATGGAATAATTCTAATAATTTCTTAATTGAGTAAATGGGAATTTTCATTGAATGATTGCTTTCTCCGTGTTATCCTAAAATATATTCCCATCAAATTTTTCCCATAATATAAGTTGCATATTTTGGACATTATGGTGGAAAAATTGTGTATATGTACTGATGCATATTTCCCTTTTAATAAATTATTTGTACATTTCACTTGTTCACTTATTGAACAATCTTTTACTGAGCTTGCTCTTCGTTTAAAACATAAACAAGCATAAAGGAAAGTTGTAATTGAATTGATGTTGCTTCCTCAGACATTTTTACAAGATTCTCCTGTGGGAAATTGAATTAGGCAGCCCAAGATTGTTTAGACAACACACAGCACTTATTTAATAGTTTGCAAGTAACTTCCCCCTTTAAAAGCTGAAAGGGAAGATGGAGTTTTGGCCAAGCGAAATTACTGCACTGGGTTTTAGGCAAATTATGCCGCGTGGCTGCAGTATCAATAAATATTTATATGCCCGTCTCCTGCGGCTGTTGCTTTTGCGGGAGTCCTGGTCCTGCAGTTTGCCCTGCGGATAGTTGGTCATGGGATTTCGGATTCTCGGATACCGTGGGGATGGGAAAACTTTGCGGCACGCAGCAAAACTTTGGCCAAATGCAGCGGAATATCTTCGCTCCTTTGCAGAAGCCAAAGCCATCAACACCAACCGGGCCAACATAAAATTCCTACTACAAAGTGGTTATTTTGTTTGAAGTAATCCGCAAGAAGTCGTTAAAACTGTCGTTGCCAGTGCTTCTAGATTGATGATGGTTTCACGTGTCCGCCGCAGAGAGCTGCGACCTGCCAGGATGCCTTTTATCCTTGTCTCGTGCCTCCTGCCACCCTGCCATCCTGCCACCGTGCCACTCCATCAGATATCCCCACTCGAAGATGCATTTGAGGGGAAACTGATGCAATGTCTGCAGCCAACGAAACGGTTCTCAATGGTTTTTCCAGCGATGCTTTGAGATGGAAATGCTAAAAAGTTACCGGCGAGAGGCGATGGCTTCCGGAAAAGCCTTTGACACCTGATATGAAAAGGAGCCCGTAATCAAATATGCCTGCAAATAAAATGCCAAAGCTGTCGGAGGAATTCGTTTGCCGTACCTTAGCCATTTTCAATTAACTTTGTCTGCGTAGGGTAACTCGCCTGCACCCGCCGCTGCCACCACCTCAATCCCAGCGCTTCCTTCCTTCCCATTTCCCGGAAAAACTCGACCGACCTTTATTGCTCAACACACTTTCGCGTCACGTGGCAAGTGGCAAGAGGCAAGGGGCAAGGGGCAAGGTTATAGGGCCCATAAAACGGCCAACTCATTATGCAAATGCTTTGTTATACGAGGAGCCCCGGGCACATACCATAAATCGGTAGTGTTATGTTTACATGATCCAATTCGAATAATATCTTTTCCGATAATTACACAGCTCTCAATCGAACTAATGTTGATGTTTCAACTTGTCGTGCTCAACTTGTATCACGATTGTAATTAGAAATGTGACTGACTGTTGCGGAACTGGTGAATATTGTCCATAAGTACACTTCAGATTAGATTCATTCGCTGCTTTAGAAGTAATCGAGGGTTGCCATTATTGGAAAAGTGCGAAGGGCCAAGTTTATGCTATACAAGTAGTACGTATTTTTTAACATTACGAACACGCAAAGTAGAGTGGCCTGTAATCACACAATGTATCTCTTCATTGATGAAAATGTACACAAAAGTTGTAATCTACTTGGTTGTTAGATAGCTAGCTTGCTTTGGCAAGTTCTGTTCGCATTTCAATAGCAGGTACAAGTTTTTAAGTAATTAACTGATCAGCGCAAAAGATTTAAGTATCAAATGTAATGGTAGGGAG